GTGGTGGTAGTAGAAGGGTAAGTGTTAGTAGTGGTGTTAGTAGGGTTGGTGTTAGTAGGGTTGGTGAGAGTGGGGTTGTTGGTAGTGGTAGTAGGGTTGATGGTAGTGCTAGTGAGGTTGTTAGTGGTGGTGGTAGTAGGGTTAGTGTTAGTAGTGGTGGTGGTACTAGGTTTTGTGGTAGTGATGATGATATTGAAGTTGTTAGTAGCAATGATAGTAGGATTGACCTTAGTAGTGGTGGTAGTAGAATTAATGGTAGTAGTGAGATTGTTGTTAATATTGGTGGTAGTAGGGTTGGTGTTAGTGGTGGTAGATCGGTCGTTATTAATGGTGGTGATAGTGTTGTTGGTGAAGATGGTGATGATATCATCTCACAAGGCCAACCAAACACCTTACCTAAGATCCTATCAGCGTACAGCCTTAACTCCGGACATCCCTCTTACCCTGCTACAGAACTTCGAAATTTATTGAGCCAAAAAGCTAAAGAAAATGTAGTCAAAGTGAATGGAATGGTAGTCAATGGCTCAGCAGATATCCTTACTAAAGGACCAAATCCTGGCATGTTGACAGCGTCCCCCTTGAAAAATGGAATTATAAGTCAACCAAAAAATGATGTCATTAGCAACAATAACCAATCGTCTTTCGAGCCTATCGCCTCTAATAGAAATGACGTCATGAATGACGTCACAAACTTACGTAATGAAGAGAGTAGTACTAAAAAACATGGCGACACGCAGATGTTGCTTAGTAACTGGAGTGTCAGGCATGATAGTAATTTAGATACCATACTTCGGGATCAAGATGGGGCTACCTCACCCACGGAGACTGGTGACCAGGTAATCATCACCAAGGTGGTGACGTCAGCGGACAAGAGCTACGGACGAAAGCAGCACCCGAGGAAAGCTCCTGTTCAAATCCGAAAATTATACTTTGAAGAAAATTCTGAAGAAAAGGTCATTCCCAGCCCGTCATCTGGAAGAGAGGGGCTGAAAAGGAACAGGAAAACGAACTCGCTTGGTACAAACAGCATCGAACGGCCTGAGAAACGAAATTTAGAGGAAACTATAGCTTCACTAAACGGCAATATTAATGGTACACCTTGGTCGTTTACCATGAAGTCAGATCATTCTTGTAGAGAAGAAAAAATTCGAAATTTGAAAGCGCGATTGTCCAAACAACAAGAAGCGGTTGAAAAGTTAAGGACTAAAGAAAAGACCGTTGCATCTCGGTCAAATAGTGTCGGTCGGGTGCTGGTCGTACAAATATCTGACTTGAAGGACAAACTTGAGATTCAATCAGAAAAGAAACAAAGTTTTCGCGTTTTTGACCAAAAAGATCATTTGGATAATGTTGGTTCAGGAAACAAGAGAAAAAGAAAGACACTTGATAGAAAAGGATCGTATCGCCCACAGAAAAGATCTCGTACACGCATTGAAAAGGAAATTGCCAAACAAAGACTACCCAGATGTCGTAGAGGAAGATCCAACTATCCTGTTGTCAGAAAGGTTGAACAGATAGTACCCGTCGTAAGTAAAGATCTCTGGCATAGGGAGATGGAAAAGATGGAAGAGGAGTTGGCTTCGTCAAATCGCGCACTGGATAAAAATGCGTTCTTGCTTTTCCTTGGTCTGAAAAAGGTCGAAGCTTCGTGACGAACATTTTAGGGGGTGGTCGTATATAAAATATAAAAGTGCGCAGTAAACCTGTTAAAAAGTATAAAAGCTAAAGGAGTATTAAATTGCGCAAAGCTCCTTTGTTTCCTGTTGTTGAACATTGTTGTCTAGGCTACGCACCGAGGTCTGATCGAGACAACAGTTGCGACAGGGAAATTGGGCAATACTCTGCCGCCGATCAGAGTATGTCAAAGTACCTAGCAATTTATTTCATTGAAGGTAGTCTATTGCTCGAGTTTCCTGTCACTGTTGTCTCGATCAACACGTAGCAATGAAAACAATGGTAAATCAGTGCCATTTATGACTAATTGATAAGTACTTCCACGGGTTTATTGTGTTATATAATTATATTACAATAAGACGTAGCAGTCAGGGTTGTTACTAGGGACCTTAGGCTGCAGGACGGCAACGACGACGACGACGGCAAATATACAATAGCACTAATTGCGCTATTCAATAGATACTCGTTGGAATGTACGAAATACTGTGCATCATTACCGTCTTATGCCGAAAGTAAGACGGGAAATGTCCTATTTTTGCGTACTAAAGAGAACGGCTACGCCAAAAGCTTATCTTTGCTGATTTTCGTTATAAGTAAAGCGCTCCCAAAATACGACATTTCACTCTAAAATGGGGGTGCTTATCGAGTAAAATACTAGATAAACACTAAATAATAATACAATAGAAGGTTGAAGCGCCTCAATTTCGCCGACGTCGCCCACGTTGCCGTCCTGCAGCTTAAGGTCCCTACTTTAGATAAACACGACTGCTACGTGTGAGTACAAGCCATGAAAATTATGAAAAATATATATTTGTAAACGGAAAACTAATATGGCATGCATTTCATGTAATGTATTCATAAAAATACAATGAATCACACCTAACACAATAGATAAGACGACAATAGAATACAATAGATTTCCTGAATACATTACATTAACTGAGTGCTATGTAGAGTACCCCGGTTGTTCTTTACAAGTTGGAAGTTTCGAATGACCTTTTAGCATAAATTATTCCTATTTCAGACATGTCATTCCCTTGAGTAGGATTTCTTTGTTTAAAGATAACACTTTAGGCGATTATACATACGGAGCAGTGTAAGAGTCAGGCAAGATAAGAATCTTACTTCCAGGGGCAATATGTGAAAAGGTGAAAAAAAACTATCCCCACAAGCTGAAAAAGACTCGTCGAAGGAAGACTGGTAACGAACCCGTACCCACTAAGGATTGTGGGTGTACACGGCAAAGTAAAGATCCGCCATCTTGCACAATCTCCCCACAATCCTATGCTGAGAACATCAATCTTCCTTGTGGTTTGGGAAAAGCGATCTGTCTTACCAAATCTAACACTAATAAGTACTGTTCAAAAACATTTCTAGTTTTGTCATAAGAAATAAGTGAACTGAAAAAGACCCAAACACTGATATAAGACCCATACACAGGCCGCTCATGTTGCATGGATATTTTCCTGAAGCAAAGGTATCGGTTTGATAATGCTATTAAGTCTGATTTTGGGCATTAAATATCAGGAACTGTATGCCCCTTGTTGGGGAAGAGCTATCACCCGAACAGGCGTTATTGGAGCCTTTGACCATCTTTCTCCCTACTTCTAATCTGCCGGATCCTCTCTCTGTTGCTCCTCTCCTCTTCTTGTCTCCTCAGCCCTTCACCCACATATTTCAGCCCCACTCCTAATTCCTCCATGCATTTTCACCCTTTCCTACTTCCTTGTAGTCTCCCCCACAGCCGCTTTCAGTGTAGTCACGCAACGCTTTCTCCCCTGAGTAGGCGGCTGTGGGGGAGACTAACTTCCTTGTTGTTGCTGTTAATTCTTTCGTAAGCTTTCTTTAAAAAAGCATAAAAATAAACTACCAAATAAAAAAATTGTGCATTATTCTTAGGATGCATGTGATGTCCGGTAGAGACGCCATTTTGATTTACTTTGAGAAAATATTTGGTCGTTGTGTCTTTTAAAGTGCTTACGACACCCGAATCAATATTTTCAGCATTGATTGTACATGAGGTGAATAGTTGAATGGTAAAATATTTTTATATGATTTGAGTGATGCATCTAGAAGATATCAAGGTTTATACTTCCAATATGTTAATGATGTGACGTCATAGGCGGCATTTGAGCTTATTTGTCATCATCGGTAAATTGAAAAAGTGATTACTATGAGAAAACAAACTTCCAATAACCTTTCTATAAACCATGAGTAAGATAATGATGTTTTATATGGAATATTTTACTGCCCCAGAAAAGTTTTGTATATTTAATAATGCCTCCTGTGGCATACACTCGTAAACATATATGAAGTATAAACCTGCTTAATCAATGCTGAAAATATTTATCTAAGTGTCATGGGCACTTTATATAGTCAAGTCAACCAACATAGCAGCCATGTCCATTTCTCATCGTGGGAAGGAATGCACGCCACCAATGCAACACAAACCATGACTTAATTTCATGAAAAAAACGCAATATAACTATAGACCCCTTGCAGCATGTGGGAATGCAGCTCAATTTAATAAATTAGTTAATAAATTAGTTAATATTAACTATGATTTGGAGGACATAAAAATAGGTTTCCAATTCTCAGTAATACGTCAGTAAGTTTTTTCATCTTTTCACGGTGTATAATTTACCTTTTCATCATTACTGTTTCCAATTCTCAGAAGAACGAAATTCTTTTGTTTTGTCCTTCAAAATGAGCTGCTTTGACATCCCATGCCAGGGGTGTATTAGCATTCGGTTCTAACAAACGGCCAAATATTGCTGTAATAATTGTTTTTCTAGACAGATTTGCATTCATCCTTGAACCAGGGAGGTGGGAGGGAGATGTAATGCAAACGGTAATTAGTCGGTATTGTTATGTAAAGACGCGTGGGTGTTATCACAAGACGCAGTCTTTTGTTTGAGGTCGTGAATAAATACCATCGACTTTGTCTCATTTTCTCACTGGACTTTGAAGATGACTTCCGCTCAGGTTGTCGAAACGTCAGTCACCAACAACACTCGTACGGAGGATCACATTTCACATTAGGTGAACTCGTTC